CAGGCAGAGCAGATCATCCACCTGCTCACACCTGAGACAGCCACTGTCCTTACCATTCTCCAGTACAGCTGACAGGCTGAGGCATTCCTTACAGCCAGCGACCTGGACAGCCACAGGTTTCTGTTTAGGTGGGGACTCCGTCTGGGTCACCACGTTCCTTCTGGCAACAGCTTTCAGACGAGTGGAAACCATTGCTTGCTCCAAACCATTGCTTGCTCCAGTGTCAGCATAGACTGAGGGAGGAAGGGATTGAGAGCAGCCCTGCCGAGGAGGATGTGGGGATATTGGTAGATGAAAAGGTGGACATGAGCCGACAATGTGCGCTCACAGCCCAGAAAGCCAGTTGTATCCTGGGCTGCATCAGGAGAAGCGTGGCCAGCAGGTCGAGGGAGGGGATTCTGCCCCTCTGCTCTGCTCTCCTGAGACCCCATCTGGAGCACTGCATCCAGCTCTGGGAGTGCTAAACTTCTCTGTGCTTGCCTGTATGCGATGTTCTCTCTGCATAGTGGGGTAAAGCAGAATCCCACAGTACCTCTCCCTTGTGCTGAACTAAATTAGACGGGAAGAAAAGGTCTTGCTCTCCTTTTCTACTCTTGCTCTACTTTGCCTTGCAAGTTTCTGCCATCCTGCATCATCTTCTGCCAATCAGTTTCTCCCACCCACCAATAAACACAAGGATGAGAGTGATGGCTGCTTGGTAAGTTTGAGAGCAACAGAAAAAGTTCCTCACTTTCTTCTTCCCCTAGAACTACTTCAGAGTAACTCTGCAGCTCTATGAATTACAGTAATCCAGAATTTCATTAGTATAAGCAACAAGAGGATCAGGTGTAAAAGGCATTGGATGGCTTAAAAATAATGCCTTTCCATAATATGAGTTCTGCCTGAGATATTGCCTAAAAGTGCTTGACGTTGTAGCTGCCAAAACCCCGGAGTTATACAATACTTTAAATAGCAGTAAAATTATAAGAGCCTTTAAAATGGAGTAACGCTTTTATGTCCTGCCTTGCCATACACGCCAAAGTGATCACTCCTTTTTGCTCCTCCCAGGGGACGCGGGGGTGCAATTCCTCCACCCCCACCTGGACGAGGTGCCCAAGCACCCAGAGGAGCGCCGGTGACCCGCGGAGCCCTCCCCGTCCCACCAGTGGCGAGGGGCGTGCCCACCCCTCGAGCAAGGGGTGCCCCGGCTGTCCCGGGCTACAGACCACCCCCGCCACCTGCACATGAGGCCTATGAAGAATATGTAAGTAACCACATGCCTTCATAACAGATGTGAGCCAAACTCTGTGGTGAACATCAAGTACCTCTGAGTTGGAAGACTCCAAGCCAATAACTTCCCTGTGTCTACTACTTACCTCCTGCTGCTGAATTACAGTCTGGGTGATGTAGTGTGTCTGCAGACCTGTGTTTTGAGTGGTGTGGGTTCATAGAATTGTTCACAGCTTAGTTTTGGGTATGAGAAGGACATGCTGGTTAGCTCTCAAGGCATCATGAAAGAGAAATACGGATATTCTAAATACTATAACTAAAAGTCACTCATTACTGTTGGCAAGTTCTCAGGAATATCAGACTATGTCCTTTGTGAGAAAATAAGGGGGGTTATTTGTTCTTCTGAATCCTTTTATTACATATAAATATATATGTATATTTTTATTCAACTTTGTGTTACAGATATATAACAAATAGAAATTCAGGTAATTTTCATGAAAGCTGATACAATGATGCATATTTAGCAAGGAGCAGTACTGTCACCTTTTCTTATGAGATGTTAAAAATAATTGTGCTGTAAACATCAAAGCTTTCAAGTCATCCTCATTAATGTTCCCTCCTGGAACTATCACCATAACAACAGTGTCGTGGTTTGACCCCGGCCGGCAGCTAAGCACCATACAGCCACTCACTCACTTTCCCCCGGTGGGATGGGGAGAGAATCGGAAGGGTAAAAGTGAGAAAACTCATGGGCTGAGACAAAGACAGGTTAACAGATAAAGCAAAAGCTGTGCGTGCAAGCTAAGCAAAACAAGGAATTCATTCCCTGCTTCCCATGGGCAGGCAGGTGCTCAGCCATCCCCAGGAGAGCAGGGCTCCATCACGCATAACGGTGACTTGGGAAGACAAATGCCATCACTCCGAATGTCCCCCCTTCCTTCTTCTTCCCCCAGCTCTATATGCCAAGCATGATGTCATATGGTGTGGGATACCCCTTGGGTCAGTTGGGGTCAGCTGTCCCGGCTGTGCCCCCTCCCAACTTCTTATGTCCCCCCAGCCTCCTTGCTGGTGGGGGGGGGTGAGAAGCAGCAAAGGCCTTGACTCTGTGTAAGCCCTGCTCAGCAGTAACAAAAACATCCCTGTGTTATCATATGATATAGTACACAGATATCACTCCCTTAGTCTATGGACCACACCTGTAAAATGTCTGTAAAATGTCCAGGAATGTCCACAAAATGTCCATTGAGTTCATTTAGTCCATGACTTTGGGATCCATCTCTTATGCTGGTCACTTAGGACAGGAGAGGTGGTGTGTTGCGTGGAGTTGTTGGGCACCAAAGCCAGCTCAGGTCAGGTCACTGCTGCACTTGCACTGCTTCTTGGTTCAGGTGGTTCCTGCTACGCTAATTCCTATAACATGCAACTCAGATCATGGGTTACAACAATTTAAAGGCATTTCCATTACCGTCTCCACCCCTTGGTCCCTTTGGACCAGGCCACTGGGTTTAACATTGAAATGAACTCTTCCCCTTGCCCCTGCTCTGGCTTGGACGTATCCACAGACTGCAGTCTCTTAGGGGTGTACCTGCTCCAAGTGGAGCCTTATCTATGAGCCACAGTCTCTCCAGGGGCATATCTGCTGCGGCATAGACTTATTCACAGCCACAGTCACTCTGAGGTGCACCTGTTCCAGCATGGTCTTCTCCATGGGCCACAGTGCCTTCAGAGATATACATGCTGTGGCACAGGCATAACCATGGTCACAGACACTTGAGGTTTCCTGCTCCCGTGTGGACTCATCCAGAGGTTGCAGTCCCTTCAACTTGAGTTCACACTGGAGCTCCAGCCTGTCCAGTACAGCAGCACAGGAACAGCAGCGATGCCCTGGCCATCCCCCAGCCCAGGCGCATCGCCATGGCGGTTGTCAAAATGTTCCCAAGCACAGCACAGTAAGATGACCAGCAGTACAGTGGTACAGTAAGCAGCAAAAGCAGAAAGCAGCCACTAACGAGCACTACACTCATATACAGTAAGACAAGCAAGATTCACGGCAAACACAGGATCCAAGTAGAGGAGAAAGTACCATCAAATATGATGTCTGACTTTCCAGCTGTGGCAATTCCAAGGGTAAGATGAACATCCCATCCACTCTGTAATCCTGTCACTAGGAGAACCATTGAGAAGATACAGTATAATTGAGAAGATGCAGTTTTATTCAATTAAAGGTCTTCCTAGAACAGAAGAAAGGAAAGTGATATAGAAGTTAAGCTTTGTTGATAAAGCTTTACTCAGTCATCTGTATTTGTAGAGATTAGATCATGTCCACTTCAAATCAGGGACGTGCGTTCTGTCAATGCCAAGAGCTGAACAAAGCTGCAAAAAAGGAGGGAAAGAAAGTCACTCTTATTATTTACCTCAACACAGTTTCCATCTTTAAATGAGATAAAAGTCCTGCTAAAAAAAGGAATTTTAAAAGTATACCCTTCTTTGATTGATAGTATATTATCTGTTAGTATCAAATTGTAATGTAAGATTAAAATGATAAATTAAGTAAGTATTTTTCTTCTTTTTTTTTTTTTTTTTTTTTTTTTTTTTCATCTTCAGTACTGGTAAATGTCCTAGGGTATTAAACAGTTTTCTTTTAAGGAACATTTCTTACACTTTTTCTGGATGGTAAATACATGGAAAGCAGAAGTAGAAGTTGAGGCAGCTGGACTATCAAGGTTAGGAAAGCATTCAGCCAATTCCACATTGTTTTGAAATGTTTACACTCTCAGGAGCACAAAATACACGCACGATTAAAGGAGTCATTTTAGTTTGTAACAGATTATTCCAATAAAAACAAGCAAATGTTTGTTTCGATTTTGCCTACTTAGATAGTAGCAAGAAACATCTTGCATTGTAGGACAAATTCAGATGTTTTGGAGATCCTTCAATCTCCTGTGTCCTTTGAATATATATATATATATATTCCACATCTGGGAATATATGGGCTTCCCTTGACTTGCTGTCATCCACCATTTTGCAGTGAAAATCTCTTGCCAATTTGCAAAGACTTGTAAGTACAATCTAAATCATCTTGGTATCTTATGGGCGGAGATAATATTTAAAACTCTGTTGGTGTGCAGGTAGAAGAAAAGTTCACTCTCATATAGCTATATATGAATTTGTAAATGATATTTTAGGGAAAAATATTTTTAATTTTGCAGGAAATAACACATTTTTTTTCTTTCCAAGTAAACCACTATCTCATATATTTGGCTGGATACTGAAAGCAAGTGGATATATTTGTTGTCCAGCCACAAATGTCATGTGTAATTGTTCTTTCACACTGAACGCTAGAGATGAAAAACTAATTTATAATGAATAATTTATCCAGTTCACTTGGTCTCATTTTCTGCTTGTAGGCAACCCACAAGCGTATTACAATTTCTTTATGTGTTTATGTTTTTGATTTTTGACTACAGTATTTCACTCCAATTTTTGCCTACTATATGCAAGCACCATTGGTTTGATTATTTGTGCACATGAATGCAATGCCATTGATTGTGAGTATCCATATTTTTGATTTTTCTTTGCTCTAGTTGAATTTAGTCATTTGAATGCTGAGCTGAAAGTGAACTCAAGAAATAGAATAGAATGGCTGCAGCAGATTTTTTTTTAAAATGTTTAAACAGCATTTCCTGAAAAAAATCGTTAGATATTTGCTCAGCCCAATTAATCAGAGATTGTATTGACTGTTTGACCTTGAAACATCTAACTGCTCAAATTGGTTTGGATAAGCGTTTAGAAGTTTGGATCACTCCTTTGTAATTATCCAATATCTAAATATTTTGATGTTTCCTGATGCCCTTTTTGAGAGTCCCTAAAAGCAAATGTCTAAAGGTTTCTCAAGAAAAGTGAAGTCTTGTCATTGTGGTGAATACATTCACATTCAACATTTTGAATGTTGAGCCCAACAAAAGGGAGAATAATTTGGAACAGCTTTCAGTAAAGAAGAGGGCTAGAGAGAGAAGGGGGACTTACACACCTCACACCTTTTTCTTTTCTTGCTTTGAAACAGGTATGTATATAGTTTTTATTGGGTGCTGTGTAGATAGTATCTTAGAGGAACTTCAGAAGAGTACCCACAGGAAGAGGAGGTGCAGACATTAAAAGCTACATGCAAAAGGAAAGAAATACTTTGTGAAACTTCCTCACTTTAAAAACAGTTCATTGTGTGTGAATCTGGTTGGAGAGCTTAACTAAGAGCTGCTGCGCAGCTTCTGGGATCAGAGGGGTGGTCCTAGGTTTGTAACCCCTAATAAGGGGGCTGCTCCAAGTGACTAACCTTACTTCAGTGGGACCGATCTGTATGTGCTCCTCGTCCGCTGAAGGAACGTCCACTAAAGTGCAGTGCAGAGCAGAAGCTTGAACTGGTCATTGTGAACCATCCTCAGAAGAAGCTTCTTTCACAAAGCTGAACTTAGCCCTTTGTCATTACTCTCTGAGGTATAATTTTACTCTAATCCAAACCAGCTTCATACTGAAGATACCCCTGGCTGCTGAACAGGATTCATTAAAAAAACCAGCTTTCTGGACCCCAGGTTGTGGTTCCCCATTAAGGGATCATCCCATTAGGGATCATGCTCCTACTCCTTCCACAGATGCAGTAGACAAATTAATTTGAATTATTGCTTAATTCTTCTTTCCATGTGTAGCACTACATGCCACAACCAGTTGGGAGCAATGGCTCAGTCTGGAACTTTTCGGGAGCACGGACTTACTACTGAGCCATGGTGTTACTCCCAGGATGCTGAAGAGCCTGCAGTGGATGGTAGGGAGGACAGCAATGCCAGCAGGCTCCTCAGTTAGGACTAACGACAAGATGGCTGTTTGGGATTTATGACACGAATTTTGTAAGTTAGGTTCATATTCTACATTGCATTGGGCAGAGGTGTTTTGAGTAGAGAGAAAAGCACTGGAACTGCATTTTAATTGCCTCTTTAAACTTAGATCTTGCACAGCTGGGGACTGAGGTATTAGTTTTGTCTG